TCTACAAATATCATCATACTGAGGTGTCCTGTGTTTTTACTTCAATCCCACACGAATACATTTTGACATTTAAATAGAAAAACGAGAAATGAGACCTTTCTCGCATCTTTTTAAGAGTTATAAATAGGAATATAAATTTCCAATAATACACAGTTGTGTCATGAAATAATATTAGATTGGTGTTCAAGACAGGGGATGTCTGTAAAATTGTCTGTAAAATTGTAGACTTAAAAAAAAAAAAAACGTTTGTTTACATGTTTCTGGCCTCAGATGCTCTGTCCATGGTGCTGAAATCTTGAGGAAAGTTTATACTGGCTGTCAGAGTTTTACTTTTTAGTTTAGTTTTACTTAGAGTCTTACTCCCATAATGAAATAAGTGTGTTTCTTCCAAACACAAACAGCAAAAATAACTTTAGAACAAAGCAAAACAGATGTAATTATTCCAAACTCCCATTTTTTGACATCACACTGTTTGTATTGTTACTTTTTTATTTATTTTTTTTTTATTATTCCACCAGCAGAAATTAGAAACACAGATATGCTTGTATTTTGAGCTTGTAAAAAGAAATTAATATATTCATTAGGATTTCCAAAACCATGATAATAGAAGTAAAAAAAAAAACAAACAAAATAAAACAAAACAAAACAAAAAAAAAAAAAACAATAACTAATGCTCTGAGTGCTATCAATATTTTCTGAAAAATCCAGAACACCAGGAATAGATAAAATTATGATAAAAAGCTTCTTTTAGTTTCATCTGTAGCACTTTTCAGGAAATTACTGATAAGCCTGGCTGTCATTTGGCTGAACTCTAAGAATCTCTGTTGAAAATAATTATAAGAAATGGAGCAGTGTTTCAGCCACTCTGCAGCAGCCACAGCAGGACTGATGTAATAGCCACCACAGTCTTACACTATAGACTGACTTTATGTTACATAACAATCCTACACTATGTCCAGTTATAAATGCCAGTGAATAATATATATATATATATATATATATATATATATATATATATATATATATATATATATATATATATTACTCTTTTTGTAGGTTTTCTGCTCTGATTGTACGGTTGCATCATCTGAAATCTGGGGAAGAAAAAGAGAAATTGTTGTTGGAAGACAAAAAAAATAAAAATAAAAATAAACAAAAAATATTATATATATATATATATATATATATATATATATATATATATATATATATATATATATATATATATATATATATATATATATATATATATATATAATCATCTGTGTTGCTGATATTTTTCATTTACAGCCACAAGACAATGCACTAATGAGGAAGCTTGAATAAATTATTTCACTGTAAAAAACTCCGATTAGTTCTGATGAATAATTCCTTCAACCAGTGGATTATAATTTATAGCTAGTTTAAATTATCTTTTGTTTCAACTAATTGTTTACTAATTGCCTCAGAAAATGTTGTTAGATCAGAATTTTTCACTGAGATCAAAAAGCAAGAACTTTGCAACAAATGCGTTCCCTGAGAGTACCAATTTTCAGTACCATCAGCAGCGTTTCAAATGGCGTTGAACATCAACTCTGTTAGGTTTTCATATAAAGATTTGTGTCTGATAAAAAAAAAAAAAAGCATTTCAACTTATGATTGGCATTTTTTTAAAGTACAGGATCAAACATATCTCTGCAACTAGATTTATTTCTTTATATCGTTTGACTTAAATTTATGTGCCTTATAATTCTTTTGTTGCCACTTTTTTGTCTTCTAAAGGGTTTTCAAAGAACAAGTGTTGTTAATTAAGATTCAGCCAGTGTTTGAACTCAGGGGCGGAGCTACTGGGCTGGCATGCGGTGGCAGTTGCCACCCCCATTCAACTATTTATTGAATTCATAACTATTTATGAATTCAATGAATAGTTATGGCAAACGGACATTAAGCGCATGAATATCTTTTTTCCTACAACACTGAATGCAACACAATGTAACTTGAGACCTATGGCTGAGTGGCAGGAAGAACAGAGCACGAGGGAGTAGCATTTATATATGTGAATGGATAACTGGATTAGACATTGCGACTTATCGTGGGCCACACATGCGCCATTTGCTGTCCTTTGAGTCAGGAATATCGGTGGTCAGGAGAATACTATAATCATGCAAAGAATCTGAAAAATGACCCAGTGTTTAGCTAATTCAACCCTATGACAGCTGTAGATAACAAGGTTCAAGGGTTTTACATTTAACAGGTGAGGAAAAAGTTTCATTTTAGAGAAAATATTGAAAATGTGAGCAGTGAGATAGCTGTGCTAGCCTTACTGTTGCTGGTCTGCTATTGACTGATTCAACGAAAATGAAATGTCAGTATTGTTTCTGTTAACACATTAACATGAAGACATTCTAATTACAATCTTTGTTTACACAGTCAGGGTACACATCGAAAACGTGTAATGCTCTCACCATGCCACTAGTTGGTGCTAAGTCCTTTAAAACTAAAGGACTTAGTGATTTACAGCGTTGAATGCGTTTTTAAGAAAAAGAGCATGACGATTTGCGTTTCCCCATCAGGTGCCGTTCCCCCAGATACTGGGAGAAAACATGCACTATGTGTCTGATTAGGGCGCAGTTGGAAAAAAGTGGGATAACTTTGCTGAAACATGTCTGAGGTTTCACTGTGTCCGTAGTTGTCTAGATAAGAGCGCTTAACAAGCACACCTGTATTTTGCCACCTGGGCAGTGCGGAGTGATGAAGAGACACTGAGGAAACCGTATCTGATGGGGAAACACGAATTGTAGTAACACCAGCGTTGTCAGTAGTTTCATCTTCTTCTTCTGGGGTTTGCAGAAAGCAGCTAAGTTTTGCGTCATACAATGCATGAGCTAGGGATTCCCTGGCAGAAAATATCCATTTATTCCGTTTACAAGAAAACGTACACCGGTACGTTTCACGACCATTGCACTCTGGAACCCGTTTTCAGTCTGTGCTGTTGTCAGAGAAAACATTCGGTGGTTTCATGTACATGTACACTACAAACACAACAAAACTCTTCCATTTTCACCAGAAATTGTTGTGGCGTAAACAGTGCAACCCATACGCCAAGTCATCAGTAGAGCAGGTGTTTAAATCAGTTAATCAACCGCTGCTGTGTTCAGGTATTAATAATGACAATATAGACATCAATCCTGACGGCATCATGTTTTTTTTTGGTGTGGGAAATGTTTTATCTTTCGGTGTTGATTCCCCTGATGGGATTGAAAGCATCTCAGCTCTATCTGCTGCTTGAGCTGTTGTCTGTCAGTTGTCATGGCAATGGGTCGGCTTGTAGGATGACGCAGACGCAGAAAAAGCAGAGTATAGATGTTTTTGTCTCATTTTGTTCTCCATCTGTTCATCAGCTTTATTGCACCTTTGCTGCAGCCGCTGCCATTCCTAAAAATTAAACAAGGGACGAAAACTGAACTAATCCCCTCTGTTCGTAAAACGCTGCGATGTTTTTAACAAGCATCAAACTACGGCTCCTACAGCATATTTAAAATAAAACATTTAACCAATATAAGGAAAAAGTGCCATTTCTTGCATCTTGACAAAACAAACAGAAACCAAATTGTTTATTGATTTGTCTGAAGGAGATTTTTCATTTTCCTTTTTCTGACACTGCATGTTTAGTCTTCTCTAGCGGTTCAGATTTTTGTGACCTTGGATTTCTGCTAATTGTGCATACTGTGAATCAATGAATCTCTGAGTAACAGAGTGGCACCGAAAGCAGCGTGTGAAGAAAAGTCAGATAACGACCAGAAAAAAAGAATGATCATAATCAGAAAAACAAATGGTAAGAAGTTATTTTTCTTTCCATTCTTTTCTGTCCATTTAAATGAAAATTGTTGTTGAACTGAACCAAAAATGGAGTGAATATGGGTGCTTGTGTTGCTACAACGCCCTTGGAGGGTGTGTTCACATCCACATAGTAAGACTAGAGAAGGAACTTTATCTACGTTGCACCTTTCAGCCAGGTTTTCAAACATGTTTTTAAAGCCAATTTCAAGCAAATTAAAAGCTTTTTAATCTTGTTTTACAGTGAACAGGAAGCTTAGTCCAGAACATTGGTGCACACAATCTTACAGTTTCTTTGCCATGTTTTGTTCAAACTCTTGGAATGATGAACAAGTTTGATTCAGATGATCTTAAAGGTCTCAGTGGTTTGCAGCGTTGAAGAAAATCAGAAATGTAAATTGGGCTTCATTAAAAAGTGCTTTATGAATCAATAACATTTTAAATTCTATTCTTTGAGCAACAAGTAGCCACTGCGAGGATCTCACAACTGTACTGATATGCTAGTCTCTGTTTTAATTAATATGTAAGGTGCTTAGGGAAACATCAGAAACATACTGATAAGTTATATAGCATAAAGAAGGCAAACAGAAGCCTTTGTGTCCCATGTTTACTAAATATCTACTTTATCCTTAAATCCTCCCTTCAATGAGAAAACCAGTTGAAAGTGTTGCCTGTGATTGCACGTTGTATTCTCAACAGGAGCTCAGCAGTGCTACTTGGCTATCAGTGACAGACAAATTCAGCAGGGGGATGCCACCGGGTATGCCTGGTTAAAAGGCTTCCGATGGGACGGTGCCTCAGGGCGTTCTCTGCGGACACATAAGTCATCTCTCATGTAAAGTGAAAAATTCCACAGTCTTATCGCCATGTGAATAATGTGCAAGAGATATGGCCCACAGAAAGGAGCCCGCACCTTGCCCGGAGAGGCTCTATTGAATGAATATGCCGCATGATGGATAACAAACACATTGCACTGGAAAAAAACTCTGAAGAATAATAGGTCAAGGGAAAATCATGACACGGAGCAGGGAAGGAAGGTGAAATGTCAACATCTAGGTTGTCTGTGATGCATAATTTACAGAAATACAGAAGGACGATGGAACAGCATAGAAATCTGCACACTATGAATTTCGATCCTGCAAGAAAAACATGCATAAAGGTAAACACTGACTGGTTTTTCTTACCATTGGAACAGCCCTTGAGTCGAGCGCCTCGAACCGGTGCTCTTTGTAGATCGGCCTTGACCCGAGCCTTCAGTCCCACGTTTTCCTTCTGCATGGCATTGAGAGCATCGCTGACGGAGTTCACCACCTTCACCATGTTGATCTGGCTGTCCGACAGCAGCTGCAGCACAATGAAAGTGGGATGGGAGAAAACACACTTACTAATGAAGAAATAACACCAAGTTCCCTTCGCAGCAGATGGGACAACAGTTTCATTACCTTCAAGATGGACAACATTTGCTGCTTTTTTTTATTATACAGCATACAAACAGCTCGATTTGAACAGCTGAGACCAATGAAATGATAGAATATCTTGTTGCATTTTCACTTTCGGCAACACTTGCACCAAGCATTTATTTTCCGCTTAAGCTAGTGGAGCTGTTTAGTAAGAGCATTGTTATAACCCAAAATCACTGCTTTCTTTAAACAAAAGTAGTAAAATAGCTTTTATCTGATTATATTGTAAATTATGCAGACTCCCCGGCTGTTTTCAAGGTCAATGCTTCCTGAGCAAGAGTCCTAGCTCTATTCCACAGTAAACAAAAAGCAGTTGAAAAGAAAAAAAAAGCAAATATTAGCCTAACCTATTTATCTGTTGCCGAAATGAAATAAAATTGTTCCAAATAGTTATCGACAACTCTTTGAAGACAGTGAGAATAAACTGATAGGTGATTAACAAATGGGTGTTGAAATTTGGCACACTATAAATTATTTCATCAATGTGGCAAAATCAAAAAGCTCTTTTCGAACATGATCAAATTAATTCAAAATCACACAGAATCTTTTTTTTTTCATTTAGAGTGCAGATTGATTCTCCTTTTAAAAAAAATATTCAGTTTTATTTTTTTGGAAAGCGTAACAAAGTCAACCTAAACACCTGTACTCTACTAAAGATAGTTTTTTTAAATCAGCTAAGAGTGTCAGGTTCTGTGTTTTTCTGTGTTTTAATTCCGAGTTTCTGTGTCCTGAGTCTCCTCGTTGTCCTGTCTTCCCCTTGATTGTTCCCAGGTGTGTCTTGTTCCCCTGATTGCCCTCAGTGTATTTAGTCCCTCCTGTGTCCTTTGTTCCTCGTCGGGTCCTTGTCGTTGTTTGTCAGATTGTCGTTGTTTTTTTGTGCCGCCCTTAAGACCAGTTGCTACCGTTGTGATCCCTGGCTTCTGCTCAGCCGTGCTGCCTGGCCGCGGACTATTGTTTATTGACTCTGTGTTTTGTTGGACTTATTTTCATTAAATTACTCACCATACACCTACCTGGGTCTCCAGCGTCTGCCTCACCACCTCACCACCACCATTTCATGACAGAAGGACCCGACCAAGAATAAGGTGAGGCTAGCTGAATTCAGCATGGACCCAGAGGGTTTAGAGGAGCTACTCCGTACTATCCAGGAGTATGAGGAGTCAAAGAGCACGTCCACGTTCGCCCTGAGACGGCCAGGGTTCGCGATACGCCTGGGCCTGCTATTGGACTATTGGGTTCCTCGTCTCCCGCACCCCGCGCTGGTGGAGCTGCAGCGGGAGGCAGAGGAGATACGCCGGACAGCCTTTGCGGCCTGGGATGCTAAACCTCTGCCTCCCAGGCCAGACATCCGCTCCGGCAGCCCATCCCCAGCTCCATCCTCAGCTCCTCGTGCCGCTTCGCCGGACCCCGCTCCGGCTGCCGTTCCTGCTCCCCCGGACCCCGCTCCGGCTGCCGTTCCTGCTCCCCCGGACCCCGCTCCGGCTGCCGTTCCTGCTCCCCCGGACCCCGCTCCGGCTGCCGTTCCTGCTCCCCCGGACCCCGCTCCGGCTGCCGTTCCTGCTCCCCCGGACCCCGCTCCGGCTGCCGTTCCTGCTCCCCCGGACCCCGCTCCGGCTGCCGTTCCTGCTCCCCCGGACCCCGCTCCGGCTGCCGTTCCTGCTCCCCCGGACCCCGCTCCGGCTGCCGTTCCTGCTCCCCCGGACCCCGCTCCGGCTGCCGTTCCTGCTCCCCCGGACCCCGCTCCGGCTGCCGTTCCTGCTCCGCCGGACCCCGCTCCGGCTGCCGTTCCTGCTCCGCCGGACCCCGCTCCGGCTGCCGTTCCTGCTCCGCCGGACCCCGCTCCGGCTGCCGTTCCTGCTCCGCCGGACCCCGCTCCGGCTGCCGTTCCTGCTCCGCCGGACCCCGCTCCGGCTGCCGTTCCTGCTCCGCCGGACCCCGCTCCGGCTGCCGTTCCTGCTCCGCCGGACCCCGCTTCGGCTGCCGTTCCTGCTCCGCCGGACCCCGCTCCGGCTGCCGTTCCTGCTCCGCCGGACCCCGCTCCGGCTGCCGTTCCTGCTCCGCCGGACCCCGCTCCGGCTGCCGTTCCTGCTCCGCCGGACCCCGCTCCGGCTGCCGTTCCTGCTCCGCCGGACCCCGCTCCGGCTGCCGTTCCTGCTCCGCCGGACCCCGCTCCGGCTGCCGTTCCTGCTCGGCCGGACTCCGCTCCGGCTTCGGCTCCTGCTCGGCCAGACTCCGCTCCGGCTTCGGCTCCTGCTCGGCCAGACTCCGCTCCGGCTTCGGCTCCTGCTCGGCCGGACTCCGCTCCGGCTTCCGCCGGACCCCGCTCCGGCTGCCGTTCCTGCTCCGCCGGACTCCGCTCCGGCTTCGGCTCCTGCTCGGCCGGACTCCGCTCCGGCTTCGGCTCCTGCTCGGCCGGACTCCGCTCCGGCTTCGGCTCCTGCTCGGCCGGACTCCGCTCCGGCTTCGGCTCCTGCTCGGCCGGACTCCGCTCCGGCTACGGCTCCTGCTCGGCCGGACTCCGCTCCGGCTTCGGCTCCTGCTCGGCCGGACTCCGCTCCGGCTTCGGCTCCTGCTCGGCCGGACTCCGCTCCGGCTTCGGCTCCTGCTCGGCCGGACTCCGCTCCGGCTCCTGCTCCTGCTCCGCCGGATCCCGCTCCGGCTCCTGCTCCTGCTCCGCCGGATCCCGCTCCGGCTCCTGCTCCGCCGGATCCCGCTCCGGCTCCTGCTCCGCCGGATTCCGCTCCGGCTCCTGCTCCTGCTCCGCCGGATTCCGCTCCGGCTCCTGCTCCGCCGGATTCCGCTCCCTTTTGAGGGTAGTTTTTTGTTTTCTGGACTCTGGCCCTCCTCCGCCCACCCTGGTTTTTGGGTTTTGAATTTTGTTTTTGGGCGTCTGGTAGCCGCCCTTTAAGGGGGGGGTACTGTCAGGTTCTGTGTTTTTCTGTGTTTTAATTCCGAGTTTCTGTGTCCTGAGTCTCCTCGTTGTCCTGTCTTCCCCTTGATTGTTCCCAGGTGTGTCTTGTTCCCCTGATTGCCCTCAGTGTATTTAGTCCCTCCTGTGTCCTTTGTTCCTCGTCGGGTCCTTGTCGTTGTTTGTCAGATTGTCGTTTTTTTTTGTGCCGCCCTTAAGACCAGTTGCTACCGTTGTGATCCCTGGCTTCTGCTCAGCCGTGCTGCCTGGCCGCGGACTATTGTTTATTGACTCTGTGTTTTGTTGGACTTATTTTCATTAAATTACTCACCATACACCTACCTGGGTCTCCAGCGTCTGCCTCACCACCTCACCACCACCATTTCATGACAAAGAGCATCATATCTTTTTAATATGCAGAGATGCTAGCAAAAAATGTTAGCTGTGGCACTGTCATAATAAAAAGTAATTCAGCAATGTAAAATATGCTGTTGGTGGGAGTGGGGTGAAAGTACTGGGGTGACCTGTACAAGATAGCTAAATGCATGATGCCATTTACCACAGTTCCAGTTATGTGGATGTAACCATTTTAGATGTGTTACATCCACATGCCTAATTTAAACTGATAGGTGATAAACAGGTTTCCCACTGACCTTGAAGGCATCCTGACAGCATAATTAGGTGATTTGAATCAAGTGTGTTAAAGCAAAGAGTTTGAAGTCAGCCATTAATTTTAAAGCCCCCTCTACACTAACAGCGGTATATTGAAAAACATAAATCTTCTGTCATTATTGCACATCCTCAGTTTAATGAGGGATACTTTCACATATGTCTGCTTTTGACTCTATTAAGCTTAACATTTAAGCTTAAAGGAGAAACTGTATGAGGGGAAATGACCTACAACTGCTTTAGCAGAAATAGGTCTTCTTCTTTTGTATGTTTTGATGGCATTTATGTCATTATTGCCTCCTAGTGGAGCAGCGTATTTACTGCAGAATGTTGCAGCTGAGTATTCTTTTTCCTTTCTTTTCAAAAACAGAGGGAAACATATCCAAAGCTGGGATTCTAAATTTACCTCAGTCCCGCTGGAAAAGTTGTCATCCTGTGCACCTGACTATACCAATGTGTTAGGACAAGCAGCATAATTCTTTCAGGACTTTCACAGGCACACAGATGCGATGGCTGCAGTGTGTAGCAACGACACGTGGAACCTTATTCCATAACGCAATCTGGTGAATATAGTGAAGCACTAAAAGCCCTGTGGGAAGGTTGTTGATGAATGTGTGTGCTAAGACTAGCAAAGAGCAGGGTAACCTCTCTAATATACCCTGGTCACAGCCTTTCTCTGAGCTGGTCATTAAAGTTAAGGTCATGTTTTTTTGTTTTAATTTCATTCCTGTTGGAGTCTACGGATAGCCAAGTTGTTTCTAAAACTCTATGTATTTATCAGAGTAGAAAAACATTTTTTTTTCCTCTTTGCCCTTCATCTCACTCACACACCCAGTACAAACAACCCCCTTCAAAAAAAAAAAAAAAACTTTCGTCATCCTTCTTTTTCTCTGTCTCATGCAAACATACTCCCCTCAAAAACACACACAAACAAAAACCTGCGCTGTTCAAAGTCATACGCCCCATAGGCGCAGCTATACTCAGGTGTTAAAACTGCATTAGATGTAAACCCCCGTGGCCATTCCTTGGCCTCAATATCTATGCAACACAAAGCCGAGGCACAGCGAACTACGCTGAGAGAATATCACACTGGAATAGTGTGAGTTAAACCCACACAGAGCTTCAAACAAGGCACGTTTGTGTACATGCCCCAATGCAGGTGCAAAGAAAGCTACAGGCACATGCCTGCATACATTACAGAACCGAAACTGTTCTGCTCGGCAACAAGGCAGGATTCATGGGGAAGACACTTTTGAATGTGGCTTTCTCACACTATTTCTCCAGTTGTTGTTTGTTAAGCATGTATC